TTTTACATACTGTATATAGACAGAGATCTTAATTATTATTATTATTCATCTGTTTAACCCAGTTTTAATTTTCACTGTTAAAAAATGTTTTTTTTTTTTTAAGTTTGTAAATAAAACAAAAATTATTGGAATATGTTTTACAAGAAAATACTATTTTAGGTTTTCTACTTCAAAGTTTTACGTTTAATTCGATGTGTTACTTTGCAGTTTCTTTGTAATTTACTGGCAATATCTGTGTGAAAATTATTTCAAAGTAATTCCTACACCATATAACAGTGTGGAATAACAGTAAATGCAGCTGTACAGAATTAACTTATCCTACTGCAAAAATATATGAATAACTGAATGCACTGAACCGTTACACCACTTCTGCATGCAGTATTACAGCAGAAAAACTATATATTTTACTAAAACTTTTATAATCCAGCCTAACCAGCAAGCTACACCAATACAAGGTTGCGCTTTTCACATACGCCATTATCATTTATTAAAGTATTTAAGTTAATTAAATTAAGTCATTATCATTCAAACAGACCTTTCAAAGCAAATTAAGTTTCTTTAGATTCTGCTTTATTACATATAACATATAGATTGCACTTTAAAAAAATACTAAAGCAGATAAAGCAATATTGTATCTAACCAATAAAACAAAAACAAATGCCAGTGTCAAAATAGTACTTTTTAGTAGTGTAAATCAAGAGCATCCTGGTGAATGAAGTGAACCAGGACTAACAGTTTTCAGCAGAGTGTGCAACAAAAGATGGGAAATGAGAGAACAGAATATCTCTACCAACCTCGCTGATGGCACAAAAATTATACGGTGATTTGACTGAAGTATAGCAGTCTGAACCACTGTCAGTGCTATAGCAGAATAGCAGCGCCCATCGCATATAATCGTCTACCATTTTCCCTGCTGTCATTCGCTATTACCCAGCCTGGGTCCTGGAACTGCCAAAGCAGCCACAGGGACATCAAAAAGCCTCTGCACCGCCATAAAGAAAGAAGTCATCTTCTTCTCAACACACACACACACACAACGATGTGGACACGGACACACACCGTCGAGCCATCATATTGCGCACACGTGTGTCAAAAATGATATAACATCCCCTCCTTGTTCCTTGTCGTAACCCCGTCCCACAAATACGCTTGTCTCTTGAACATAGCATCAAGCTGCTGTCTGATTGACACACTCTGACATTTCCTGCCAAACTGCAGGGGTTTGTGGGACAGTTTAGGGCTGCAGCCAGAGTGATAAAGATTTAGACTGATTCCATTTGCTTTTGCTCTATTTTGGTAAGGAAAAGGTGATTTTTCAGTTTCCCTCGTCTCTATCATGCAGGTTATTTTCTTTTCTATTTGGTTTAACCAAAAAAAAGTGGTGACAATATTAAAATTGTATACTTTTATAACTAAATAAATGAAGAAATAACATAAAAAAAAAAATAAAAAAAATAATTGTAGATGCTAAAAAATAGGCATATCAACACTATAATTGTCACGATTCGCTGCTGGAAGGAACGATGGAGACGTGGATAACATAAACGGTATTTAATGAAAGAATCACAGGGGTAAATCCACAACAGGAACAGGGGTAAACACACATAATCCAACAAGTAGACCCGACCAAAGACACAACACAAAGGCTGGGACTTAAATACATGGGGTAATTAGAACTAAACAAGACACACCTGAAATACATGAACAATCAACACGAGGGAGAAACTGGGCCACGGAGCACATGGGGAGGGAAAACACAACAAAGACAGTCCAGGGGCATGACAATAATGTATTAAATATAATCTATTTTTTTAAATGTATTACTTATTTTAGTTTTTTTTTAAGATTATTAAATTCTTCATGTTTTTAAAGATTTAGTGAGTGTCAGATGATAGCACAGGTAATATAGTAAAACAAAACAATACAATATGCAAAATATTCACAAATGTGTAAAATTATTACAATTAATAAAATAAACAGTTGTTCATATAAGCATATAAGCAAATTATGTTATAATAAAAATATTTTTATTTTATTACAGATTATTAAATTAAAAGTATGAGTGAGTGCCAGATGATAGCAAAGGAAATGTAGATCTAAAAAACAGAAATGGGCATGAAAATGTAAATATCCAAATATCCGAATGATATTGTTAAATTTAAACATCCCTAATATCAGATATCAGAATATCTAATATATAACATAAAAATTTGAAAGAATGACAGTAGTACAGTCAGGCTTAAGACCTTAACTTACTTGAGACTGACTAGCAGAGTTGGACTCAAAGGACTAAACTAGACATCTCTTTGGAAATCACCCGAGCTACTGGAGAAGTTCACTGTGTGAAGTATGAAATCCGGCAGAGGAATTAATCCCTTTACCCTATTACCCTTTAAAATACCCTCTAAATGCAAAAACTCATTAAATCTATTATATTGCACAAGTAAGCGAGATACCAGCAACCTGGTGGAAGTTGTTTAAAACCATTATCTTCAACTTTCTTTATTCTGTATTTTAATTCATTCCTGTTGTAAAGGGTTAAAACAGATCTCAAGCAATACTATTCGATACTCTTTGTGTTTGAATGCGGTTAGCATATCAGTGACAATGTGAGATAATTCTTCACAAGACTTAGCATCTGTGGTTTTCTAAATATAACATCTTATGACTTGAGGTTGTTAGTCCAAGGTATAATTCCTTGAAAAGAAGTTGCTTATCTGGCCCTTGCAGTAAGTTAGAAAACTACATTTCCACTCCATAAGTCCATTATATGGTAAAGTGAAGGGAACGAGAGAAGATTGTGCTGATTTTCAAATCCAGATTGCCAGCTACAGCCTAAATAATAGACATTGTAGAATTTCCCTTCAGTATGTTCAGGAAAAATCCAGGCAAATACAGCCAAAAAAAGCACACATCCTTGCCTACAACCGACGAGTGATACTAGCAAAAGAAGTACGTCTTATACTTACTCATATTTGTTAGCCGTTACCGAAGGGTGTTGTATTAGGATATGTGGCTGCACTTGGCTCAGTATTTCTAGTAAAGTGAATGGACAAGCACAGCACAATTTATTCTCAAAGTGATGGTTGGTGTAAAGTTCTCTGAGTATTCTGCACATGGCCTCGGGTTACGTTGTAATGACAGTCATAAGCTTTAGGTGACTGCACTTGTGGCCCTGTAGACATCTCTGCTTGACCTCTTGGGACCCATGGGAGATAAACAGGCAGTGTGCTTGAAAGACGCAATGAGCTAACTTGCCCTTGCTATTTGTATGTGCTTAGCACAGCAAGGTAAGGTATAATAACTTTCCAAAAGCACAGCTCTGGAACCGATGTGGCGAAACTATTAGGCATTAGTTCTTTGACGCATTAAGAAAATAAAGCACAGATGTTGAGCACGGTTCAACGCTCTCCATGGGTCTTCAAGAACCTGCTTCATTTAGCCTGTAAATTAAATAAAGGATTGCATGGCAGCGCACTAAAAACTCACAATATCACTTGAGGACTGTAGCTTCGTCAAAGATGCCATGACGCGCAAATTCTCGGAATATATTTCTTCATCAACGCCTTGACAAGATCGAATTGAGAAATCAAACATTACAAAGAAATCAGTGCCAAAGCAAAGAGCAGCCTGCCATGAGGGGACATCTGTCTTCAAGCATAATCATATTCTATTCGCAGGTGGCCATCTGAATACATAAATATTTTATTATCATGTTGAAACTTTGGCAGAGAAAGTCAATTTTGCTGACATTTATATAGAAGTGTTATACCACCATGCCACCTATAAATCTCAGTGATATATTTCCCCAGCTCTTATGTGTGTCTGCTGCAAATGCCCATGTTGGCAAAAATGAAACTTCAGACCTAAAACAGGCAGGCACTGACTTCTGTATGATGCATCCATATGAACAGCACGGCAACACGCTGCTGCATATATTTGTCATGCCTAATATCATTCATATAAATGGCAGACTGATAAATGGGTGCATTAGTAGAGCTGGCCACATAAAATAGGTTTATTCAGTGCCTACAGGAACACAAACTGATGGCCTTAGATGCTCAAACAGGAAAAAATGGACATGCTGGTGTAATGAACAAGACAAATTACTCTACACTGGATTTGCATAGGCATGCTCCTTGAAATAATACAAAAGTTTGCATCGTTGAGAATTTCTCATAATCTCGATGAGAATGTTTGCACAATAATGATAATGCTCAACAAAGTGTGTGTCTTGTGTGTGACCCCGGAAGTAGACGAAGTTTGCATTGTCTAATCTCTCCTTAACACTCTCACAAAATGAAATTCATGACTAACTGTACTCCATGTACCTGCATTATAGACAAGATCCAACTGAGAGCGCATTACTCTAACGCTATCCAAATAATTAACTGTGACGGTTTCGCTTTCGATGATTTTGTACTAATCTTGATTTTTATATATAAAGTCATGACAACCTTAGAGGTTTTAGACTTCTCGACCTTCCCCAATTTATCCAATCATGCTAAATGGAGTAAAATGCGAGCTTAAGGAACTGGCTTTGTCATGATTTTCCCCCTTTGCTCTTTTAACTGAGGAGAGATGTAATACTAGATATGGAAAGAAAATTAAAAATGGAAAGATGTCAATCCTTTTAGTTAAGAACACACCTGAGGGGAAGGAACCAGGTTGGGTGCCATTAAATTATGGCATCAAGCTTTTTTTCCACACTGAAACTGAAAATGCAGTGTGATGCGGCATAATCACAGCCATTAAGATGGTATTTAATATTTAATATAGATTTAAGTGTAGCAGAATTGTAGACCTATTCGTTTTTATAATGGACGGGGCTATAAAGTGTGATGCTGCAGGAATAAAAAAAAAAAAATCAGATTTATGCAACAGTTCAAAAGTTTGGGCTGCATTTAAATCTGTAATATTATGAAATTTAAAATAACTGTTTTCCATTTTAATAGATTTTAAAATGTAATTTTTTCCTGTGATGGTAAAGCTGGATTCTCAGCAGCCATTCCTCCAGTCTTCAGTTAAACATGATCCTTCAGAAATCATTCTAATATGCTGATTTGGTGCTCAAGAAACATGTCTTATTATTATCAATGTTCAGAATCAGAATCAGAATCAGAATTAGCTTTATTCGCCAGGTGTGCAAACACACGAGGAATTTGTTGTGGTACATACATGCATACATACATACATACATACATACACATCTGACATGAGAACAGAAAAAACAAAACAAAAAAACATTTAAATAGTAAAACTTAACAATAAATGTGTATGAATCCGGAACAGTAGATTTATGTACAGATTTGTGCATCATTTACTCTATATAGAACTGTATAAATAAAGAGATATGCATATGTATTTACATAATACTTGAGAAAGAGGCAATAATTAAGGATGTAGAATGAATTACGGAAATGAATTACAGAACGCAGGTAATGATTCATATGTTAGCGGTTTAAGCTGGAGATGGCATGGGGGAGATGTTGAAAACAGTTGTGCTGCTTAATATTTTCATGGAAACTGATATATTCTTTTCAGGATTCTTTGAAGAATAGAAAGTTCAAAAGAACAGCATTTATTTAAAACAGAACTCTTGTCACTTTTGGTAAATTTAATGCATCCTTGATGAATAAAAGTATTAAATGTAAAAAAAAAATAATAATCTTGCTGACCCCAAACTTTTGAACGTTAGTGTAGATTGAAGAGGTGTACACAGCTGATGTGACAAGCTGAAATACAATATTTGGAGATTGCAGTCTTTCCCTTTTGATTAGATAAGAGCTGTACTTGCATGCCTAGGAAATAGCTGCCTGAGGCGTTACTAAGAGGGAGAAGAGTGAACTAACTTGCCTTCAAGGGACGTTGGTAGTACATGCTTTTCCTTTTATACTTTAACTAATTTCTTTGAAGTAATAATAATAATAATAAATAACAGCAAAAAAATGAGAAGAGATATAATACTAGATTTGTGTGAAAGAAAATGTGCGATAGAAAAACCTAAACTACTGTTCAAAACGTTGGGGTCATTGCGAAGAAATTAATACTTTTATTCATCAGGGATGCATTAAAATGATCAAAAGTGACCTTAAAGACATTTATATTGTTACAAAAGATTTCCATTTCAAATACTTGCTGTTTTTTTTTTTACTTTCTACTCATCTAAAATCCTGAAGAAAAAAAAAATATATATATCATGGTTTCCACAAAATTAGAATTGTTTCTTGAGCATTAAATCAGCATATTAGAATGATTTCTGAAGGATCATGTGACACTGGAGACTTGAGTAAGGATGCTGAAAATTCAGCTTTGCAATTACAGGAATAAATTACAAATGAAAATATATTAAAAAAATAAACAAAAAAAAGAAAAGGAGAAATAAAATTAAAAAGTATACTTGTTATCTACTTCTACATCACGTCCAATGGTTTCCACAGAAACCCACACAGCAGTGCGGCAAAACAAAATGCCATTATTTTCCAGCCATAGAAGAACAAAAAACATCTAATTGACAATTAAATGCAATTTAGGAAAATAAGGGAGGCTACAAAATATACTGTTTGTTGGTATTGTTGTGACTGAGGCTCACAGGATGTTCCTAAATGAAAGTTAACTGCACAGTCACTGGGGAGACAAAGTGACTTTAGAAATAGCTTGAAAGCAGTTGCTGTCCAGTTCTGTGCATTGTCCATACATCTTCTTGATGTAATAAGCCAAAGGTTGAAGCGGTCGGTGAGAGGTCTTACCTGAGGGGAAGTGCTCATTGATGGCCCAGTTGTCCACCTGAAGTGTAGCATTGCCCCCATTTCGGGTGAAGCGAACTACATGGTACTTGCCGTCATTTACAGCGGTGCTGCTCTCCTGAACAGTGATGTCAGACGTTCCGATGTTGAACGTGACTCCAATTTTGCCTTGTTCCTGAAAAGGATGAGGAAAATTTCAGTTTTTTGTCCACATCTACGTGGGATGAATTCAGGTAAATCAAGCGACTTTTGCCATTGAGATTCACCTGATGTATTTTTCCTGTATTCGCCTAAATACTTACATAATGAAGAGATGCATCTTATTCTGTTTTGATTCATTTTTAATGACACAGTTGCCCTTGAAATCTGTCACCTCTTGCTTTGCTTTTGTTCTAGCAGGATCCTGAATAATCTATTAGCATTAGTGACCCCTGATAAATTTTTTTAGCATTAGTGACCCCTGATAAACTTGTCCGCTCGATGAAAAGTATTCATCAGCCATTAGCACCCCCCATCTTTGGAGGTGAAGAATCTGGCTCATTGATTTACATAATGCAGTGAAAGTGGACTAAATCAATAGCATTAGCTAAAACAGAAAAAGAGATAAGAATGATTAATGGGACAGGAAGGTGTGCAGTGTTTGCCCTCATGGATCCAAGAGGCTGTGTGCAAATGTAGCTGCAAAGATTCCCACTATAAATTAATTAGCACAGCCTCAATGAGCATCGGTGGAGAAGGAAACATTGAGGAAATGTTTCATCCATCGTCAATGTCATGAATAACCTAATACTGTTTTGAAAGTGTCTGCTGGAAACCAGACTAAGCTGGTTTGGTAGTTTTAAAGGGTTTCGGACCCTTGTCAGCTGCTCAGACCGGCTAAATCAGCATTTTTTTTTTGCTTTGCTTTCTCTGCAACCGTTTCATCCTCTCTAACACACTCTCTCCACCTCCCTCCTGAGCCCTCTGGGTTGCATGGATATATTTTATGGTTATGTTAAATCGAATCTGGTGTTGTTCTTATCTCTTGCAGCATGGAAAATGACGACAGATGATAAATTGTATCAAGGGAGATGTTTATCAGTGCAGAGTGCATTTATCACAGAAAGATCTCCCTGAGAGAAATCTGGGCCAGTCCTCTCAAGTTCATTTGGAAGACTTTCCCAAAGACCGGAATGCTGTGTGCATCCTTCTCTGTTTGTCTTTAATTAACCCTCATGTTTTATTGATATTGACTTTAATTATTTTATGTTTGGTGTCCCAGAGACCCCAATGATGTACACTGCACTATTTTTTAAAATAATTGATACTTTTATTCAGCAAGGATGCATTAATTGATCAAACATTAACAGTAAAGTCATTAAAATTATTACAAAAAATATATATATATATTTCAAATAAATGCTGTTCTTTTGATCTTTCCATTAATCAGAGAATCATTCAAATAAAAAGGTATCACCTTTCCACAAAAATATTTAGCTGCACAACCATTTTCAATATAATAAGAAGACATTTTCTAAATCAGCATATGAGAATGATTTCTGAAGGATCATGTGACAGTGAAGACTGGATTAGTGGCAAAAGGTTTGCCATCACAGGAATAAATTATTTTTTTTAAAACAAATCAAAATAGAGAAAAAGTTATTTTAAATTGTAATAATGTTTCATAATATTACTATTTACTGAATTTTTGTACAAATAAATGCTGCCTTAGTGATGGTAATATGTATAGTAAAAAGTTAATAGCATTTCAAAATTAACCTCAGATATTAAGAAAACATACAAGGTTAATTTCAAAATTGCAGGTAATATTGTAGTGTATATGTAAAAAATTAATCGAAATTAACCAAACATATAAAGAAAATATATACATTGTGTTCATATATATGTACTTCCTCAGAATTCAAAATCTTTGCAGACAGATAATACTGAAGCTTTAATCCACTTATTTAGTAGAAAAGTAGACACTTTTCAGTAAAGTGCCTGGTATCTTTTCTAGTAACTATGTTTATGTAGAAAAAAAATGTTTAAAATCAGATTTTTATAACATTAATATAAGTATCTATATATGACTAGTGCATGTCATGCAGATTCATTAACCACATCAATAACGAATAATTACATATAATAATACCGCATCTCACTGTTCAGCATCTTAATCCATGAGTGGCACATTTAAAAACACTGTTTTAAGTCAAACAGAATTTGAAAAATGCCTCTCAAGATCCCTTCTTTTTGCTGCTGTCTATCACACTCCATCTTGCTGTTTTTCATTATATCAAATTGACATGTTAAACTGACATCCATAATAATTACTATTACAAATAATTGTTTTCTTTGTGTTCCACTTCATGCCATGCCTCATTTAACCATAGCAAATTGCCTCTTGTAGCTTATGGCTATATTATATGTGTTTATTTATTTATGTATTTAATGGATAGATATTCATAACTTGTCAGTGTATGGTATGGTTTTAATGAATCAGAATCAGAATCAGAATCAGAATGAGCTTTATTGCCAGGTATGTTTACACATACGAGGAATTTGTTTTCATGACAGAAGCTTCCACAGTGTAACAGAATGACAGTGACAGAACAAAAAACACAGATAATAAAAAATAGAACAAGTAAATAAGGAATAAAAATATATAAATTGACAGTTGTATGTGCAGGTATATTACAATAGACAGTTTTTGTATGTACAGGTACTGTATATTATGTGCAAATTTGAGGTGTAGACTGATTATGAGTGTTAGATAAATAAGTGTATGAGTGAATAAATAGTGTGTGTTCCACAGTTATTGTTAAGTGTTCATGAGATGGATGGCCTGAGGGAAGAAACTGTTCCTGTGTCTGGTCGTTCTGGTGCTCAGTGCTCTGTAGCGTCGACCAGATGGCAACAGTTCAAAGAGGGAGTGTGCTGGATGTGAGGGGTCCAGAGTGATTGCTGGAGGTGTGAATGGTTGTGTGGAGAGGTGTTCAGGGCGGGTGTGGGGTGTCTTTTCAAACCTGCAGTAGAACTCGTTCAGATCGTCTGCCAGTTGTTGATTCACCGCAGTGCTGGGGGATGGTGTCTTGTAATTGGAAGTGTTTGTGTTCAATGATACTTCAAGTCCCTTGAGACCGTCTTCATAGAGGAAGGAAGATTGTACGTTACTGTAACCCTGCCTTTCTTCCTGAATGAAAGCTACAGAAAACATATCTCTGCCCTCTTGTAAAATATTAATGAGATGAAAATGAGTCAAAACACATAAAGAGCACTTTGCTAAATTTGCTTCCACAGACTTCCACATACATACACACACAGTGCTATGAAATATCTAAGCTCCCTGCCACTTTTCGCTTTGTGAAAGCCTCTTGCTGCTGTATTACTTGTTTGATCACAGAAACACTCTTTTACATTTAGCATCAAAGAGTTTATAAGTGTCTCTCTCTTGCACTCTCTTTCATACATCTATCTCATGCCCCTTTCACGTTCCAATTCCAATACCGTAATGCTTTCGCATCCAGGAGGGTAAAAGGACGAATAAACTCTTGGTTTTTGAGCAAGTGATACATGAAAGGAAATAGTCTGTCCAGGAAAAGTGAGCAAATACAGAATAAGCTTTGTGCGATTTTTCTATTATGGGTCAATGACAAATAAAGATGGCCAAGATCAATGAAAATGTAAAAAAAAAAATAAAAGATTGAAAGAAAAAAAGAAAAGAAAGAAAAAGAAAATGAATGACTGAAAATTTAGAGTGGTATTGTCATCGAGTTTTCCTTGAATACACTTCATTATTTTAAGGTAAAAATTATAAGGTAAAAACAAATATTTGTAATAAATTATCATGAAAAAAATTATCATGATTGTAGTTTTGGGTTATTAATCATTAAAGTTTTTTGGGTTACTCAATTTCACCCGAAATAAAGATAGACAGACATGTTTTATGATTTTCTTGTTTCATCATGACAACATAATGTGTTCCTGCATGTTGGTTATGCTAATATTAATTTTCTAATCAGAAAAAAAATGTTGATTTTAGTTTTAATAATCTTTCAAGAATTCCAGGACTTATTTCTTTGATACAATTTCCAAACCTCCTACAATTTTTTATTGAATTAATTTCAATAATCCTGAATTTTGAATACAAGGCTGAATGCCACTTAATACTTTTGAATGACACTTTTAGGACATTATTCAAAAGTGCCCAGTCAAATATACAACTCTGCTGCAGGCACAGTTTAAAATGATTGGCATGTCCAATTAATCATTGTATATATGAAGTGGAATAGGACATGCAAAAAAAAAAAAAAAACTGATTGCCAGAATGAGTTTGAATCAATGGGCCAGATAATGATTTTGCAAACAGAAAAGCTGAACAAAAAATTTCACAAAAAAAAAAAAAAAAATAGATGGCAAGAAAGCTTGGGCCTTTTGCAAACACTGTGCAAACAATCAAGGCTTATATTAAATCTTTATATTAGAAGTACATAAACAGACTCCACAAGTCTGAAACCATACAAAGACCAAATTTATTCCTTACTCTTCATTTTATTAGACATTGTCTCCAGCATGTTGCATGATGATTAATTGAAGCTAGGGCATTCTTTACAATGATGTCTATACGGCAGCAGTCTCTACTGCTAAAACCCCAATCCACATCTTTCCTAACTGTATCCCTCTTTTATTCCATGGGCCACTTCATTTGTTTTGCTGTTAACCTTCATCAAAATATTATAATGCGCCATTCTAATATGCCTTTGAGGAAAAAATAAACATAAAAAAATTGCAAGTAATGAATAAACAGCAGTAGGAACAAAGCAAATATGGCCTTATTTGTATTCTGCGACACGCTCCTCCGATAGCCAGACAGTTAGAGTCCTTCTCCAGAATGCAAACTCCAATCATTACAGTCATCAATTGTGCTGTTCTTGCTCTCCTCTGCAGTGTGAGAAGCAAAGAGGTTTGCTCCACTGTATCACCTGGACAAATTGATAAGTGGCTAAAAGATGAACCTTCTCTCCCTGTGAGTGTTCGTCTGTGGAGAGCTGATAAGGCGAGATGCTCCTCAATTGGCAGTAAAGAGAAAATGGAAGTGACAATTTTTCGTAGCTGATTGTTTCATCAATATAAGAGTCGATATTTTCAAGTCCACCGCTAAATAGTGTGGGATCTTTTTCGGAACAACTTCATTAC